TAGAAAGAGAAATGTGCATGGATACTTTTACAAGTAACAAATTGAGTAACCATCACCATTAAAAAAACTGCACCTGAAATGCAAGAACTTAGAAGGCTAGCATTCTATTGTTCAGAGGAAAACAAGCCACCAATATCCCCAGACCCTTCACAGGCAGCAGGAGCCCAGCAAGCAAGGGATGAGTCCTTCTAAAGAAAGCAAGAAGGAAAAAGCCTCTTTAAAAGGGACAGAATATATCTGGTATTCCTCATTACTGGTAGATCTCCAATATTCAGAAACTGTATTTGTCTCTTCAAATCATTTAGATATTTATTCTTTCATTGTACACTCTAAGTGTGCAGTATAGAATTTTGCAATTCTGAGAAGACTACCCACTGGATTCTTCCAAAATCAATGTATTCTTTATGCAACAAAAATAGCACGCAAAAAGTTTAAGTGAGAGAGGCAATGATTTATTGATAACACGGGTGTAATTTGCCTTCATTGCTCTGTTGTGTTTGTCAAGAGATGCTACTCGATATATTTTGAAAGACAGCTAAAAATGTATTAGCTCATAAGAAAAACAAACTGAAATGTTAGGGTGCACCACATGTAGCAAAGGTTTTCTGCAGTGTTCTGCATAACATATAGCCAAGAAACAATCTATGACTGAAGAAGTGTCTCTAGCAAAGAGAAGCCAGCAACATTTACTAAGGAAGAATATGTATATGTCTTATCTATAAAGATTCTCAATCATGCAAGTCATGGTTGACCCAAAGGTGCTTTTTCAAAAGACGTTTCGCTCTTGGATGAGAAGCTAAATGTCTTCAAGAAAAAATAAAGTAGCTGCCTTTTGAAAAGGGCATTGGGACATGTATACCTCTTCAGTCACCTGCCATATCTTCTGATTTTTTTTTTTTTTACTAAGCTTAGTTACTAAATTCATCTATTTCATGGCTTTTACAGATTACATTAGTCAGTAATTTGGTTACAGAATTGATCCACTGGAGGAGTTTCATGCTTCTCTTGTTGACAGTTTACTGATTCTGATTTTCATATACAGTGTGTCTATTTTTCATGCAACTGTCTGCATATATTTCTAATAGCTTTTTTTCCTTATTTCCCCAAAAAAGTAATGGAAAGGAGGATTACTTAGAATCTTTAATCTTGAGGGAATCATCCTAAATCCAGTTCCAGGAGATTTGATAAAGATGTATGGAAGTTTACCAATTTCACAGGGTTGATGTTAATCTAAGTAAGTTTCCATGCAAAAAAAAATAGGTGTGGTATACACTACAATATGGCCCTTGCTGAGTAAAGCTGTTGTGATAACTTCCTGCATTGCATTTGCATAGTAGGTTTGTTTTCAGTACAAAACTATGCAATGGCATCCGGTTTATCAACAGTGAAAAAAATCTTAACACTTCTTTAAAACCAAAAATTTCATCTCAGAAAAAAGAATCAAGTTTATCAGTATTCTAAAATGATTCATACATGACATATGGGCAAACAAGTGACGAGTGCTTCAGGGTCTTTCTCCAGGGCCTACATGACGCTTCATATTCAATACGTCAGTACAGATGCCAAATATCTCCCTTCTTATAAAATGCCCTATTTGTTTAAGATGTAATGTTTCATGTTATAAAGGCCTCCTTGGGGAAATCTTCCACAGACAGACACATTTGTCAATTAGAACTCAGATTACAATTTGGAATTATGACCCCTTACTCTGGGAAATGCTCAAAGCTATTAGAGGCACACTCCAGCCATAAACAAATATAAAAGATAGAGAGCTTTCTAGAATGTCATTAGAAACATATTTCTGTCATTATTGTGCTTTTCCTCCCCTAATTCCCTTAATATCTGAGGGTCATTAAAGATTAGGGTTTTTTTTTTTGGAAATACTTATTATAGGTAGTCTTTGACTTAAGATCATTCATTTAATGGTCCCTGAAATTATGGCTGCAGGAGAAAGGCAGGAAGAACTGGAGGGTGGAGTTAAATCTGTCATCAGTTTAGAATCCTTACGTTGCTACAAGAGATCCAAGTCCAGTCCTCCTTTGAATTATGTTAATCTCTTATCTAGCATCAATTCAATACTGACTGTTATTGACCAGATTCTTGTATACAAGTTTGAATAAATCCTCTATGCTGCAATCTTACGAATGATCCTGATTCTTTATGCCTAACATTGGCTACTACAGCATCCCCGCAGTAACCTGATCAAAATTTGGACACTTGACAGCCCACCCATATGTACAATTTCAGGAGCACTTCAACTACCCCACTCAATTATCTCCCCCATCTTTGTCCTTTTGGCCCTCTACACTCTACGGCTCTTGAATCCTATCTGACCTTTGCCTTCTTCTTTCTCCCACTATTGACCTTGTTCTGTCCCAGCCTACGCGAGTACTGCTCAACTGCTTACTCGTGAGGAAGACCTCTTTTCATTGAACAAGGCAGGACTTTGTAAGAAAAACCCCATTTATTTTGACACAGCTTTTATGGAACAAACTCCAACCAGTCCTTTAGCTGTTGAAACGAACAAGATCAGTCTCTGAGTTCTCAGCTGGAATGCTCAAGGTACAAGTCACTCAAACACACAGAAATCTGACAAACCTGTTAAATGTCCAAGAATCCTGACACAAGAAATCCAACAACAGAACCATGAAGCTGTAGCATGAATGGTTGCCTTCGGCAACCAGCACCTTCCACACCTCTCCTCTTTATAGTCCAGCCAGGGCGTGGCTTCTTAGTGACTCTTACTTTGTCTATGGAGCTGTCCCACCACTCTCCATTGTCTTGCTCGCTTCTCTCTGCGCATCCGTGCATCCAGGACTGGTCCCAGCTGTTCCTCCGCGCCACTTAATTCCAGCCCCCAAAACAGCTGTGACTCTGCCTGAGTGGGAGTAAATGGGCCGGGCTCTGCATCTGGCTCTGAGTCTTCTTGCTCCTTAGAACCATCTGCGGACTCCAGTGTGAACACAGGTACCTCATCCGATTCCTCAGATTCGGCCGCTGGATCCGCTGGCAGGCGAGGAATCACAACAGACCTAGACCGCTGCTGGCCACAAGAGGCTTTCTTCTCCTGGTCTATCCATAGTAGATTCCTCATGAGGTCTAGGAATAACGGCTTCATGTGGCCAGCAGCAGCCTTATGAAGGGCCTGACTGGGCATGTCTCATCAGCAGTGGGAGCAAAGACTGCAAAGGTCAACTAGGGTGATGGAGTGAGAGCAGCAGAAGCCTCAGAGTGCAGGGTGGCAAGGGGGACTGTAGCTGGCACTGGGTTGGGACAGCTGATTCTTCCAAGGAAGGCTGCAGCTCAGAGGCTTCTTGCAGCCCCAGAGCGATGATGCACCAAGAAAACATTGAGCCACAATGTATTTTTTCCTTGGTCTTCCTGCACTTACACACATGCATGCACATACCTTAAATCAGTGGTGGGATTCAGCCAGTTTGCACTACTTCAGCAGAACCGGTAGCTAATTTTTTGTTGCCCAGGCCCAGAATGGATTTTCAGAAGTGGCATCCACACAGAGAACAGTTGTTCACATATTTGAATCTCACCACTGCCTTAAATCCTTTTTTCCTGGCCTCTCTGAATAGCATTTGCTCAACCTCTGTATTCCTTACCTGGAACTCACATCCACTTCCCATTTAATAACATGCACAACAGCAACCGGGGCTATCAGGATTGCCATCACTAAACAATGTGGTCACATGATTTGTGCTTTATGATCCCATCGCTTAGCAACAGAAATTCAGGTTCCAATTGTGGTCATAAGTCAAGGACTACCTTTAGCATTGGCTATTGGAGAAGGATTAGGGGAAGAGTGATATCCGTGATCTGAATATCTGTTGAAGAACAAATCCCACTTCTGAAAGTAGGATTTGCACTGGGAGGAAATATTGCACTTACAGGTTCAGAAAGCCGAGGAGATAATTTATTCTGTATGAGAACTGTGTCCAAATTATCATTTTTTTCTGATGCTATTTGCATTTTTAAAAAGACAATATTAACAGCAAAACAGCTTTTAATGCAAACCTAAGATTTTTACAGTCTCTGGCCACATCTGGCCCTTTGGCTTTCCCTGTCCAGCCAATGTGGATTACTTTTATTTTGAACACAACTATTTTTTTTTTCAATTTACATATGTGCATGCGTGCATGCCTATGTACTATCTCAGTTTCTCATGTGTCCCCTTGGGAAAATTAATTGCCCACCTCTGTTTTAATGTAATCCTAAGTGGAGTCTGTAGACAGCTCTTCTCTAACACTCATTACTAATTCCTTCATAATTTACCGCAAATCACTTTTTATGATAGGATGATCCTGAAATGCAGTTTAAAAATCAACAGTAAATTTCTATTCATATCTTCTTGGGAGCCAATCTTTTTCATTCAAATGGTTTAGTAAAAATTGTGAAAAAAAATCAAATGTGTCAAAGGAGCCAAAGTTATTATCTCAAGGAAACTGATAATAGAAATGTATTATCCTAAAAATATGTTCCTGTACTATGTCGAACACAACTAAGCTCAAGGAAATGCCCTGTTCCTTAAATCAACTTTTCTGTTTTTCTTTTTTTTTCTATTTTTATGGGACATAAAATATTCAATACCTTAAATCAACATGTTTTATTTCTCTCTTCGTAAAGAAAAAATATTATTTCATTTGGTCAAAGAATAGAAAATGTTCATAAAATGCATCCAGGAAGCTGTTAAGCCTGGTAATGAAATGGATCTAGTGACTTTACATAAATGAAAAAAATCAAAACCAAAACCTGCACAGTATATGAAATAGCTTAGCAATGAATTCCCCTTAGTAGTTTTTTCTATAAAAAAACTTTTAAAGACCCATGTTTTAATTTATTTAAGTAGCATTATCCAAGTAAAGAAAACTTCTATTGTAAGAAAGATGATGGAGAATATATATATATATTTATATGCTGTCCCTTTTAAAAGGGATGGATATGGGATCTGAAGCACAAACTGGTTAAAGCACATGCTGACAAGTCAGTACCTGCCAAAAATCCTGAGAAGAGGGGTAAAGGTTAGGAAGAAAAGGAAGAAAATGAGCAAAGGTTTGTTACAACAATAGGAAAAATAAAGCAACAAAAAATATCATGTACATCATAACGGCAGGAACCACAGAATAAAAAGAATAGCAAGTTAACATTTCAGGAAGAAAGAATTGCTGAACTCCTTAGAAGCAACAAATAAAGGGGAGGAAATCAATGACACTTCAAGTTGCCTGCAACAATATCAACAACAGAAGGAATATACATATATACAATATATCTAATAGACTACTTCAGTACTTTCAGTTTATGCCAACAAAATATGAAGCCTTCAAGTTTCAGCAGAGCCAAGAAGAAACCAACAGTTCATATAGTCTTCTATCTGGTTGTCCTCTTCCAGTGTTCTCTTCCAGCTTTGAGAGAACACACATGAAGCATTGAGGTAGGAAGGGGACAACCACCTATCCAACCAGATCAGCCGGATCAACCCTGTCATAATGGGGGGACGGATGTGGCAGCCTGATTGCCCTCTACCATCATCTTCAGTTTGCAGATATAAAACAACTTTTATAAGAAAAAGACAATGTTACCAATCACTCCTCTAGTTACCAAAATTACCAATCTCTTCTCTTCTTCTCCAGCTTGGTGTCTTCCACATGTTGGATAATAGACATCCATGTTATCAAGGTAATGGAAGCTAAACCCTAAAAGAGCACGCCTGGCTGAGGAATTCTGGGAGTTGAAGTCCACAAGTCATAAAAGGACCAAGTTTGAAGACCCCTGCCCTAAAACACCTCAGGAACTAAGGCTGCAGAAGCAGATGGTTCTTTGGAACCTATTTTCCTTGATAATAACCTCAGTGTGGAACTGCAAATTAACCCAATTAACCATTGCACTTAAAATTAATGGCTGACTTCATGGTTAACCTGAGATTCCAGTATATCTTTGGCAGCTGGCCCAGTTATCTGGAGAACAAATCGACTAAAATATATGCTAACATCTCATCTTCTGGGTATCGTAAAAGGGACAGACATGGTTATACAAATAATAACTTCTCCTGATAAGCTACACCAAAGCAGGGTACCATCTGTCAAAATCTTTTCAAACAATTGGAGATTTTGAAGGAAAAGCTGCAATTTATATAAATATATATACAACACTGATAATTAAATCTGTGCACATATTGCTAATTTAGGTTTTCCCTTTCCTGCAATGCATACCAAGAGGACTGGTCTATTAAGCCAAGAAAAGCAATTTGAAAGTAATATGAATAAGATAAATCAGCAAAAGAATATAGGGAACCCACTGAAAAACCTACTTTTTTTTTCAGCACAACCAAATCTTAAGTTCCTGATCCTCTGAATTTCCTGAGGTGCCCATCCTCCCAAACAGGGCTCTTATGAAGAGATATCTAAATTGTCTTTTCAAATATATCCAAAATTGCTTGACAATTCAAATTAACTACAGTTAAGACATTTGTTCTTCTATGATGAAAGAATAAACTGGGTGACACAAAGGTCCATAAAACAAATAAAGGTCTAAAAATCTAATTCAGTATTTTAGAAAAATGGCAAACCATTATTTATAGGCTATATACTTATTACACATTAGAAAAATGTATATGGCCAAATATCATAAGTCTTATTTTGGAGCATTTTGGAGAAAACAGTTTCAAAGAGCAGCATACCCATTTTAAAAACTGACAATACTTTGATTGCACACTTTAAATTATATAGTTAGTCCTCAATTTGTAACCATTTGTTTAGAGACTACTCGATGTTACAACAGCACTGAAGAAGTGCTGTAAGTCCTTGCACTTACAACTGTTGCAGCATCCCCATGAGGTCAAAATTTGGGCACTTGGCAACTGACATATATTTATGATAGTTGCAGCATGGGGGAGGGGGGGTTTGTGATCACCATCTGTAACCTTCCCAGCTGGCTTCTGACAAGCAAAGCCAATGGGAAGTTTGATTTACTTAATGACCATGTGACTCATTTAATAACTGTAGTGATTCACTTAAGAATCAAAGCAAGAAGATCATAAAAGGGGCGTTGTCTTACCTGAACGCCTTTTCTCAGCAGGATGATGTAGAGTCCAATGGATGGGTTCTATGACAGCCTTCCTGCCCGGCAGACTGGGTAAAAACTTTGGCCACACCCTTCCCTTGGGCGTGACCCCAGTTTTGACTGAGGCGAGATCTGTTTGTTGAATTCAATATAGTAGCTCCTTGTCCAATGCCTGCCTAGACCTAATACCTGGGGGGGCTTGGACTCTACATCATCCTGCTGAGAAAAGGCGTTCAGGTAAGACAACGCCCCTTCTCCAGCAGGATGGCTGTAGAGTCCAATGGATGGGACATACCAAAGCCCTCATGTCCCCCTGGGAGGGAGTGTCTAGGCCCCTGGCTCCTGAGCAGAGACAACTTGCTGTAGCACTCTTCTACCAAAGGCAGCATCCGCTGCCGCAAAGGAGTCTAAACGGTAATGCTTAACAAACACGGAAGGAGAAGACTAAGTTGCGGCCTTACAAATCTCTTCCACTGAAGCTTGTGTGGACCACACTGCTGATGTGGCCGCGCTGCGCGTTGAATGAGCAGTTACATGTGGTGGAACTGGAATTGCCTGAGAGACGTAGGCTTGGGCTATACAAGCTCTGATCCACCTTCCTATGGTAGAAGATGATACCTTCTTCCCCATAGTTGATGGTTGGAAGGAAACAAATAGAGCTTCCGTCTTACGGAAAGACGAAGTGCGCTTTATGTAGTAACACAGCGCTCTACGCACGTCCAGTTTGTGCCATCTGTGTTCTAGCCTATGTCTGGGATTCGAGCAGAAATCAGGAAGGGTCAGTTCCTGAGATCTGTGGAAGATGCTGTTTACCTTCGGAATGAATGCAGGGTCCAGTCTGAGGACCACCTTGTCCTTGAAGAAGGTACAGAGATCCTTCCTGACTGATAGTGCTGCTAGTTCAGAGATTCTTCTCGCTGAAGTGATAGCCACTAGAAAGGCTACCTTTAATGATAGGTGATGGAGAGAGCATGAGTCGAGAGGCTCAAAGGGTGCAGCTGTCAAGGCTTGAAGAACTTTAGACAAGTTCCAAGAAGGATATCTGTGTATAACAGGAGGCTTAGTATTGACTGCTCCCTTTAAAAAGGCGCTAATCGCCGGATGTTGCGACAGAGAAGTTGAATTGTCACAGGAAAGGACAGTTGAGAGGGCCGCTACCTGCCTACGAATGGTGTTGACTGAAAGGCCCTTATTAAGACCTTCTAATAGGTAGTCTAAGATATTGGGAATATTCACCGAAATTGGATCTAGGTGATCACCACCTGCAGAACCCCTTCCATGTAGCGTCGTAGATCCTGTTTGTGGAAGGTCGTCTTGATGCTTGAATGATCGATATCACCCCTGAGGAATAGGATTGCATGGTTAAACTCTGCCGCTCAAATGCCAAGCGGCTAGTTGTAGCCATTGAGGGTCTGGATGTAGAAGCTTGCCCTGACTGAGTCTCACTCGGTCCGGAGGAATCTTCCACGGGGGTGATATTGAGAGGTCCACAAGGTCGGCAAACCATGGACGCCGTGGCCAGTGTGGAGCAATCAAGAGTGCTTCTGCACCTTCCAGGATCAACTTGCATATGGTTGCCGGAATTAATGGGAGTGGTGGAAAGGCGTACAGGAGTTGCGCCGGCCACCGACACCTGAGAGCGTCCGTTCCCTCCGATCCCGGAGTCGGGAATCTGGAGAAGAACCTGGGTAGTTGCGTGTTCTTCGGAGTGGCAAATAGGTCCAGGTGCGGTTGTCCAAACCTCCGGGAGATCTCCTCGAACAGAGCCGGATCCAGACGCCATTCCGACTGATCCACCTTGGCTCTGCTCAGGGAGTCTGCCCGGAAATTTGCCTCCCCTGAGATGTGTTCCACACTGATGGAACCCAATTTTGCTTCCGCCCACCGAGCCAGAGCTGATGCCTCCTGCATCAGTTCCACGGATCGTGTTCCTCCCTCCTTGTTGACATGGGCCTTTGCTGCTACGTTGTTGGTTAGAACGAGAACGTGCCTTCCCGTTACTAGGTGGGAGAATTGACGTAGAGCCAGGTGAATGGCCCGAAGTTCCAGCCAATTGATGCTGTGAGTGAGGTCCGACTGATTCCACTGGCCCTGCGCTATCTGGGTTCCCAGATGGGCTCCCCATCCGAATAGGCTCGCATCTGTCGTGAGCATGACCCGGTTTGGTTCCCTGAATATGCTTCCCTTGAGCATCATGGGCGATATCCACCAATTTAGTGACCTTAGTAATTGATTTGGTACCAAGACCTTCTTGCTGGAGATACTGAGGTTCCTCCTCTGATAGGGGAGAAGGAACCACTGCAACTCCCTTGAGTGGAGTCTTGCCCATGGGACAATGCCCATGCAAAATATCATTTTCCCCAGGAGCTTCGAGAGCTGAATCAAAGGTACTCTCTTGTCTCTCTGAAGTTGATGAACCAGCTTCAAAATGCTGCTTCGACGCTCCTGGGAAAGGTATACCCTGCACTGGGATGAGTCTATCACCGCTCCCAAATGCTTGAGCTTCCTTGTGGAAGTGAGATGGCTCTTTTCTAGATTGACTGAGAATCCGTGATCCTGTAGGATGCGGATTGTGGTCTGAAGGTCTAATTTTGCTTGCTCGTGTGAGCTGGACTGAATCAAGATGTCGTCCAGATAAAACTGAACACGCACCGGCATCGACCTGAGATGGGCCGCTATTGCTGCTAGGATTTTGGTAAATACCCTTGGGGCTGAGGAGAGTCCGAAGGGTAGGGCCCTGTACTGGTAATGCCGGTGTGCGTAGGTAAATCTGAGGAATTTGCGGTATTTGGGGTGGATGGGAACATGCAGGTATGCCTCCATGAGATCTAATGAGGATAGGAGGTCACCCTTCCTGACACTGGCTAAGATGGATTTTAGGGATTGCATTTTGAACCTCCTGTAGGTTACATAATAATTCAGGCCTTTTAGGTCCAGTATCGCTCTCCACCCTCCTGATGTCTTTGGGATCACGAAGAGGATGGAGTAGAATCCTCTTCCTTCCTCTTCCTTTGGTACCCTTTCTATTGCCTGAATTGACAAGAGGTGTGCAATGGCCGAGGTTACCAACCTTGCCTTGTGTGTCCTTCTGGAAATGGGGCATCTGATGAATCGGTTTGGTGGGGGAGAGCAAAAATCTAATGTTAGGCCATGTCTGATTGTTTCCAATACCCATGCGTCGGTCGTGGTCTGTTCCCAGACCTCGATGAAATTCCCTAACCGACCTCCTATGGGAGTGTCCTGCATGGCGTCACTTGGAGCGTTTAAAGGGTCGGCCTCCCGATCCTCTAAAGGGATGCCTGGATTGGAATTGGCCTCTGGCTCCCATGTTTGGGCGATCCTGGGAGCGATCCTGTCTTGCATAGAAGGATCGTGAGCCTCTAGACCAGTCCCAGGATTGCCCTGATCGAAAGGGCTGTCTCCAGTCCCAGGACCTGCCTGGACGGAAACCTTGTCTCCGGAATTCCTGAGCACCTCTCCTGTCTAATTTCTTTGATGGATGGACTAGAATTTTCCTTTTGTCCCTACTCTCACTCACATGTGGATCCAAAATGGATCCAAACAAGAGTGACCCACTGTACTTAGATGTGGATAGACGCCATTTGGCCTTTAGGTCTGTCTTCCAATTTTTAAGCCACAGTAATCTGCGAGAGGCTACTGTGGCCGCAATTGATCTTGCTGCATACTTGGTTGCGTGAAGTGAGGCATCAGCCATAAATTGTGAGGCGGCCAGTATCTTGGCCAAAGTTTGGTGAGATCTGACCTGGTCTGGAGGTACAGTGGTTTGTAGCTCGTGAAGCCACATGATACAGGCCCTGGCGAAGAATGACGAAGATGTTGCCGCCTTGGCCGCCCAGGCTGTGGCCATGTGTGAACGACGGAGGGAGTGTTCAAATTTCTTTTCCTCTGGTTTCAAGGCCTCCGCCATGTCTCCTGGAATCGCAGAAGTAGAGAATAATGAGATCAGGGGACTATCTACTGTGGGGACCTCTAGCATGGCCGAAAAGGAAGGAGACACATTGAATAGCTTCCTTTCCACGCTGTTAGGTGCAGGTGGCGTTGCTAGGGAACCCCACTGCTCCTCTACCGTGGTGCGGAGAACCTCAGGGCAAGGAATGTACTTGTCCTGTGGAACTTTCTTGGCAAAGAGAGGGTTTGCCTCCTTGCTTGTGGAAGGAGTTTCCTCCTGAACTGAGGTCAAGTTGACCGTAGAGACTGCCTTTATCAAAAGTGATTTAAGAAGAGCTGGATCAAAGAGGCCAGAGCTTATTGTCTGCTCAGGAGCGGTCCCCTCATCCTCCGAAAGGGGCATGTCCGACATGTCCAGGTCTAGTAATTCTCCCTCTCCTATTTGAGAGGAAGTTTCAGAAATGTTTGTAGCCGGAGCCTTGTTTCGTCCCTTATGGGATGGTTGAAATGCTACTTGGCCCTTAGAGGCCATAAACTGGGAAAAGGCATCCTGCATGAACGCCTGAAATTGGGCAGACCATATGTCCTCCTGGGCTTTGTCCGTGGACGCAGCCACAATGGGAGTATGGTCTGGTGAGGAGGCAGGTAACGAGGAGTGGGAGGAATCCAACTGTTCGGTTTCCCCCAGAGGGGACCAGGTTCTGAGAACTTCCTGGGAAGTAGGTTCTGTATTAGGGGCCACCAATGGGACAGGGGAAACCATGCTTGTCCCATTGGAACTGGTTTTCTGGGCCCTGGCAAATTGTTTTTCTAGAGCCAAATGTCTCCTCGAGGCCTCTTGCTCAGCTGTTTTGGATGGGCCCCTTTGAATCAGGTGCTTTGTTTTAGCCTTCTTCTTCCCCCCCACCTCAGATTCTGAGGATCTGCATTTTTGTTGTTGTGGGGGGGGGCAATTGGGGGCCCTGCATAGCTGAATGCGAGACATTGTCTGCCATTGTGACCAGGTATCCCGAGTAGGCAATACCTGGGGTGGGGAATCAATTCTACGCAGATCAGTTGCAGGTAGTTAAAGCCTAATGGCTTATTCTGCACAGAGGAAACGAACAATGGCCGGACAGACAGGTCCCTTGCAGGAAGATCCTGTGGGGCAGTGACTAAAGGTCACTCTGAGGAACAGTGGACCAATTCAATTTATTTCCTCCCTCTCCTTTGCCCAGGGCAATTGCAATGGTCTGATGGTCTTGTGAGTATGTATTCCCCACTATGGGGCTGTAAAGACAGTCCACTGGGTGCTAATAAACTCTCTTATTCGCTCTTTCTCCTCGCCCTCTCTCTCTCTGTCCCTCCTTCTGTAGAAATCTCCAAGTATATGGGCACCTAAGATGGAGGCTATGCGAAAAGGCCACCCAAAATGGAGTCTTGGTAGAGGCCACGCCTTCCCACTCACTGCCAAGGAGAACCACGAGGCTCAAAATGGCGGATTTGGCTCCAACGGTTGCTCCGCCGCTCAAAATGGCGGGTCTGGCTCCAACGGTCGCTCCGCTGGCTGGGGAGGCTTTGGGGGCGGCAGAAGTTAGTTGTAAGAGGCTTTAACGAGCCCCCCGGAACGGACCACGCTTCCCCAGGGAATTTAGCGACTCGCGCAATGGCAGAGTTGCCGTTTGCTGATAACTTCCCTAATCCTGGGCGACGCGGTTCTCGCTATCCTGGGGCTTCGGTTTTGCGTGCCCCAGCTGATCCTGGAAATATAGGTCAGCAGCGCTTCTCCGCTGCCTCTCGCAGCTTCTCTCGGCTATTTATTTATTTATTTATTTTGATACTCTCACCACCTCCTGAAGGTGACGCCTGCCGGAACGGCGATCCGTCGGCTGCTCGGAGCCCCGAGCCAAGGCTGAAGGAAAAAACGCCTCCCTGTGAGTTTGCTAATTAAATTGGGAATTTGGTAGAGAGAGAAGAGGGTTTTAGCCTAATTGAGAATCTTTTTGTCAGGAGCTAAATTTCTAGCTGCTAACGGGCTTCGAGACTGAGTCAAAACTGGGGTCACGCCCAAGGGAAGGGTGTGGCCAAAGTTTTTACCCAGTCTGCCGGGCAGGAAGGCTGTCATAGAACCCATCCATTGGACTCTACAGCCATCCTGCTGGAGAATTGGGTGTGACTCGCTTAGTAACAGAAATTCTAGTCCCAATTGGGCATAAGTCAAGGACTACCTGTGCTTCCTTCTTGACAAAAGGAAGTTGATAGTTCAGAGAATGGTATCAAACATTAAATGCCACAGTGTTTCTTAATCACACTCCAGAATAACCAGTAAGTGTGTTAATCAGCTTGTTCCATCAGTCAGTCTGATAAATAGTTGGCAGCAGGGGCTTAAACTGAATGCATTTGAAGCTGTCACCAATGACAACTTAAATTATTCCTTCTGCCCTTCCAGATGTGCTGATAAAAATGCAGAACATCACCCCACATCTGCAGGGAGCAAAATGACATGAAGGAAAAACAATGTGGCTGAATGTTAGACTTCTTTCTGCTATCCCAGGGCAGGTGATGGGAATGCTATCCTTTCTCTGGAAAAAACAGGGAAGTCAGCCTTAGAAGAACAGAAAGATCAGCAAAAGTTTAAAAACTTAAAACTACACAAGCAACACTGCAGTTTATTGCAATGACAGATTAGCCTGTAAAAGGTAGAAGAAAGCAAAGTCAAAAGAAAAGAAACAGTAAACATTAAAAATAATAACAAAAGGAAAAAGAAAAAAAACAGAAGAATGACTTTTATTTGGGTGTGTTACCCAAAGAGTTAAGAACCTAGGAAGATGAAGAAGAGAAAAAAATATTAAGATGAAAATGACCTTTTCTTAACCTGTAAGTTTAGCTTTCTGATTTGACCCACATATATATATAAGAGGACTTAGGATATTGAATACCCAATGAGGATACAGTGGATATGGTAGCAAAAGGCACACCTTCCTATTTCCATTTTCAAGAGAAAAATGAGGACCATTTTATATATTCCATTTCTCTGAGACAGGAAAAAAATAAATCCCTGAAAATTTGTATAAGTGAACTTATAATAAAGAGGAAAGTGGAATACCAATTTTGCTGCAATGACACAGCACAAATAGCAGAACAGCAAGCCATTTTGTTTTACTTTGAAACATGATGTTGCTTCTAGTGCTTCGTAAGAGACAGTAGAAAAGCTCCTTAGAATTTAGATGTAGTTGCATTCAAAAGAATAGTGTTTGCTTGAAAAATGATAGGGCTTTACTTATTTTATACGTAGAATAGAAAAAAAGGACATATTTCCCTCTCTCCATCCCCCTCCTCATCCCACCATTGTTAGAAATACAATTAAGATGCATCCAAAGATTTAGAATTACCTTTCCATCGTAGCGTTTCACCACAAATTGATCAAGACCTAAATCTGGGAATAAAACCAAACAGGTTTATTAGCATATTTTGAAAATGACATTTTGGCACTTTCTTTAAAGAAAATGCATCACTTAAGCTTTAACCATCAAATCAAACATGAAAAACACAGGAAAGTAATTTTACTGGATAGTAGTGGGTTAATTTTTTATCTAGTAACATCTTTTACAGGTCTGTATAATAAACCTTTGTCTTTAATTACTTCTCCTCCTCCTAACAATATCACCATCATCTTTTACCTACAGCTAGGTGTGCTTTTTTTCTCTGATTCACTATGTTACCTCAGTTGCACTCTTGTCATCTCCCAGCTACTATAACCGTTAATCATGTAGCTGGAAACAGCACACTTGGATGGAATTAGTGCTTCAGAAAGTCTGGCCTGTACAGAAAAAACCTGTGTCCTTCCTTTTACATAGTAAACACTAGTTGTCATTAAGAGATTACAAAATGCTTTGCTTAATGGAAGTATGGAGCAGTGTTTTTCAAACTTAGCAACTTTAAGATGAGTGGACTTCAACTCCCAGAATTCCCCAGCCAGCATGCTGGGGTTGGGGTTAAGAATGGAGTTGGGGACGTAGAGCAGTGTTTCCCAAATTTGGTATTGCAGAAAGAGGGTACAGATATATTTTCCAAATTCCCAAAATAGGATAAGGGGCACCATGTGGAAACTTTTCAGGGGGGGATACAAAACTCAAAATAAGGTGGAATTTCCTGATTGCGAGAACAACTAAAAAGTAGAACAGTCTGCTGCTCCATCTTCAAAGAGAGAGGTCCCCAACCCCCGGTCTGTGGACCGGTACAATCCACAGCATGCCAGAAACCGGTCCGTGCAAACAAGTAAAACCCCATCCATGGGATGCAGGCAGTGCATGAAACCACACCCACTCCGGTCCGTGGAAAAACCTCTTTCCACGGAATTGGTCCCTGGTGCCCAAAAGATTGGGGGCTATTGTTCAAAGACTTTCAAATAGAATAGCTATTTGCCTGGGATGATATATGGATTCTCTTCATAGAGGATGATCGAAAACTTCTCCATGGTCCCTTTCCAAAACTATGATTTTACAAATAATGCTAAGTTGATAAAAAATCAACAATACTGATACAGGATTTAATAAATGAAACACTTCATTGCAATCATTAGCCAGCACAACAGGAATTAGTAGTCCAAAATATGCAAATTGATCTACTTTGTGATGAATGATCATGGATCATTTTAACATCTGTTTGCCACATTTCTGTAGATTAAAAATCACAATAAATTCAGCTATTCATACAACTGTGACAATTATTAATTTGTTTACTGGTTGCCTTTGTTTCAGGAAAAAAACTAATTTTTGGGAGGTGGGTGGGAATGGATGCTGAAAATGCAATATTGGATCATATAATATCATACTGCACTGCATTGCACCATAGTTTAGTCTATGAGCTTCAATGAAGACATTTGCCCTGCAGTGGATTGATTCATTCTGATGTATATCTCTATCTTTTTTTTTATTAAAATTTTTATAAACATTTTACAATAAAATCCCTCCCCACCTCTCTCCCTCCCCCCTCCCATTAGCCCTCCCCCCTTCCCAGAGCTGAGTACAGAGCTAAAAACAAAAAAAGAACATAAAAAATTAAATAAAGATCAATCAATTATACATAAATCCTAAAAAATTTTAAAACCCCTTTAACTCCATTACAATAAAATCAACAAATCTAACCATAACAACTGTATACAATAAATTATTCAAAAGCTAAATAATACTTTCTAATCCCATATTTGTTCTGAACAAAATTTACCCATCTTTTCCATACAGAGTTGTATCTCTCTTGTGAATGGTCTTTCAGATAAGCCGATATTTTTGCCATTTCTGATAAATAAGAAACTTTTAAAAACCATTCCTCTAAAGTAGGCAAGGAGTCTTTTCTCCAATATTGCCCAATCAATAACCTTGCTGCCGTAATAAAATTCAACATTAAAATAATCTCTTTACTATCACAATCTTCAATAATACCTAACAAAAATAGTTGTGGTGTAAATTTTATCCTTCTATTAAAATTTTTTTAAATATTCCACCAAATCTTAATCCAAAAAGCCTTTATATTTCTACAAGACCACCAAATATGATAATAGGTTGCATCCATACAACCACATCTCCAACATGTGGGCTGTAAATTAGAATACATACGAGACATCTTTTGTGGATCAAGGTGCCATCTGTAAAACATTTTATAAAAATTTTCTCGTAAATTTTGAGCTTGGGTAAATTTAACATTCCTAACCCAAATTATCTCCCATGTATCTAATAGAATCGGCTCTTCAAAATTTTGAGCCCACTTAACCATACAATCCTTAACTAATTCTGTTTCTGAATTCTGAAGTCAAATTAACTTCCACCAAGGCATTATAAACTCTTTTTATATGGACTCGATTTTGATCTCTAATTTGTTTCACCAAATTGGCATCTTCCGCAATGAAACCCATTTTTTGATCTATACTCCATCTTTCTAATAACTGCCTATACTGAAACCAAGAATAAATGTTTTCTTGCGATAAATCCTCCATCGATTTTAATTGCCGCTTATTCCCTTCCCACTTAGTCAATTGCTTATAAGAAATCCTATCCATTTTCACCCCTTTCCTTATCCCTTCTATAGCGTGCCCAGGAATTCCCCACAGTGGTATTCTAGAATTTAACTTATAATATTTCTTCCGGACACGCAGTAAAGCAATTCTTAAAACATGGGATTTAAAGGCCCTATCCACCTTTTTATTATAAATTAAATACGCATGCCATCCAAATAATAAATCCCATCCTTCTAAGGAAAGTATATCTAAATTTGTTAAGTTAACCCAATCACTGATCAAAGTCAAAACCACCGCATCATAATACAATTTTAAATTCGGCACCTTAAGTCCACCTCTCTCTCGAACATCTTGAATAATTTTGAGCTTAACTCTTGGTTTTTCCCCAGCCCAAATGAATCTATTAATCCCCCTCTGCCATTCTTCTAAATTTGCCTCTTTCTTTAAAATAAGTATCATTTGAAACAAAAAAAGAAATTTAGGCAGAAGATTCATTTTCACTGCAGCAATTCTCCCTAATAAAGATAATTGCAATTTCTTCCAATCATTCAAATCCTTTTGCATTTTAAGCCATAACACTTCATAATTATTTTTATAAAGTTTTACATTAGAAGCAGTTATATAAACCCCCAAGTATTTTACCTTTTTTACAATTTCAAAACCTGTCAAATTAACTAACATTTCCTTATCCAAATTAGGCATATTTTTTGTTAAAATTTTATTCTTATTATTATTAACTTTAAAACCAGAAACTTGCCCATACTGATTTATAATCTGCAACAATTCTACAACTGAATCAGCTGGTTGAGACAAAGTTACAACCAGATCATCTGCAAAAGCTTTTAATTTATATTCTCCCTTGTTAATCGTTATTCCCTTTATTTTAGATGATTCATGAATTTTAATCAGCAAAATCTCTAATGTTAAAACAAACAACAATGGAGACAGAGGACACCCCTATCTTGTACCCTTTTCAATTTGAAAAACCTCAGGTAAGCCTCCATTAATTATAAGTTGCACTGATTGTTTTTGATAAATACTTCTAAAAGCTTGCAAAAAATTTTCCCCAAAATTCATTTCTTCAACCAATCTCAGCATAAATTGCCAATTCAACTGATCAAAAGCTTTTTCCGCATCTAAAAAGATCAAACCCGCAGGGATCTGGTTGTTTTTGTCCAAATATTCAATTAAGTTAATAATTTGTCTAACATTAATCTTCATATACCTCCCAGTTATAAAACCAGTCTGATCTGTATGTATAATTTGACTCAGTACAACCATAAGTCTATTCACCAAGATCTTTGAAAAAATTTTATAATCTGTATTCAAAAGAGATATAGGTCTATAATTCTTAGGTAGAGTAAGATCTTGATCCTCTTTTGGAATCAAAGATATAAAAACCCTTCTCCAAGATGGAGGTACCTCCAAGCCTAATAAGATACTATTAAAAAGTTCCTTTAAAGGCTCAATCATTTCCTCATGTAAAGTTTTATAATAAATTGATGTCAATCCATCCGTGCCAGGTGCTTTACCAACTTTTAATTGTTTAATTGCCTTAACAATTTCCTGTGAAGTGATTAGCCCATTAATCTCTTCTCTTTGATCATTTGTTAGTCTAGGAAAATGAGCATCTTGTAGATATTTATCTATATCCAAACTCTGAACCTTCTGGCCCATATATAATTTTGTATAAAAATCTAAAAAAGATTTTTTTATCAATTCTTTCTGAAAAACCACTTTATCATTATAATTTATTTTATCTATAATTCTTGACCTCTGTTTTTTCCTTAACTGATAAGCTAACCACCTACCCTGTTTATTTGCATTACAAAATGTATTATGTTTCATAAAACTTAAGTTGGTTGCAACCTGGTCAGCCATTAACATATTAAATTGTGATTTAAGCAAATTTATAGAAGCCTTAACATTCTTATCCGAAGGATTCATAATTAATATTTTTTCTTTTATTTTAATCTCCTCCTCCAATTCTTTACGTTTTTGCATTTGTTTTCGCCTATAAGAATTATTCATTTGAATCAAAACCCCCTGCATAATAGCCTTACTTGCATCCCAAACCATTGCCATTGAAGTTCCCTTAGACATGTTTAAAGTAAAAAATTCCTTTAGATATTCTCTAAGTTTCAATACATTCACTTCATATCTAAATAGATTTTCATTCAATCTCCATGATCTCCTTTCCTCCTTTTCAGGAGTTAGTTCCAACCATACAGGGCTGTGGTCAGTAAGTGTCCTTGGAAAAATTTTTACATTTTTAACACTCAAGTATAAGTCCGTGGTAATCAAGAAAAAGTCAATTCTTGAAAACGATTGGTGCCTATCAGAAAAGAAAGTAAAGTCCCTATCATCTATGTTGCGCTGCCGCCAAATATCTATCAATTCCAAATCTTCTTTCAGTTCAAAAAAGGCCTTTGGTAATTTAGCTTGCTTGAAGAAAGTGGAAGATCCTTTCTTATCTTTATACGTATCCAAAACACCATTCCAATCTCCCATCAAAATCACAGATTTATAATCCAATAAAATCAATTTTTGATATAAAAACTTATAAAACTGTTCTTGTTGATGATTAGGGGCATAGAAACCCACTACAAGCAATTTCTTTCCATATAACATTACTTCAATCATAACATATCTTCCTTGAGAATTTGAATCTATTAATTTAGCTGACACGTTGTTCTTAACATACATAACAACACCCCCTTTTTTCTCTGGAGCGGAAGATACAAAATGAGAACCCAATCGGGCATTTATCAAATATTTTTGATCCTTCAAAGTAATATGAGTTTCCTGTAAACAAACGATGTCATTATTATGTTGCTTCAAACAGTGGAATATTTTCTTCCGTTTCTGAGGAGAATTTAAGCCATTAACATTCCAGGTCAGGAGCTTTGCCATCTCCTCCAGCTGTAAGCCTGGAGAAGACTGCTTGAAGATCTAACATCGAGGATCGAATTGAATCCGATGGTGTCGTCCTGTGCCGATGGCGGCTACATTGTAGCTGTCCGCCTGAGTTCGTGTTAAAGCCGCTGTGATAGCGAACATCAGCTGTTCTGTGGCTTCAAGCTTCTCTCCCGGGCAAAGGGAGAGAAGTGAGGTTTTTTGCCTTGAGGATAGTGGTGGAGCCACTAAGATCCCGAGGGTTTTTTTTCGGGATTGAAGGGTGAGCTCCCATGGAGTCCTAGGCAAACTCCGCGACTCAGACGCCTTTGTTCCCTTTCTTTCTTTGGGGACGAAGCAAGACGCAGCCCCCACCTCCGCTACTTATGTTAATTGGTGAGTTAATCCTGAATGCGGACAGAGCTGATCAGGGGAACGGATTTACAGCTTAATTTGAGCTTTAACTCCTGGAAGAAGAGTTTTTCTTTTGTTCTTGTTTTAAGGGGGAAATAAAATGGCGATGAGTTGTTTTTTCTTCTCATGTAACTCTTTTTGATGAACTCTTGGATTTTTAGTGGTTACATGAGAAGGGTAATTATATTATTTCTTCCCTTTTTATATATATTTAATTATAAGAGGTTTTTTTGTCTTCTCTTTTTTTCTGCTTTTTTTCTGGTCTTTTGGATTATTTTTTTTTGGGAGAAAAGTTTTTTCTAAAATGGCTTCAAAGCGTCAAGCAACTTCTGCAGTGCCTAAGGTAGCTTCCTCTCCGGCAATACTTACAGTGCAACAACCTAAAGCTAAATCACCCCCACCTTCCCCGCCGATACCAACACTTACGGTAAAAGACATTCAAGATGTTATGGGGAATGTTGTTTGTCAAATTAGGCAAGAAATGAAAGAACTTTTGGAAGAGAGAAATAGAGTTATGAGGGAGGACATAGTAATGGCTCTGAAAGGACTCGCCTCTGTTGTTGAAAAGCTGGACAACCGTATTGATGATGTTGTTGATAAAGTGGATTTATTAGAAGATCGTGTTGAAAATGTTGAAAAAACAGTGGAGATTTCACAGGATGAAATTCTTATGTCTCAGTATAGAGAGATGGAACTTGCTTTGAGAATCAGAGGCTTGAGGGAAAGCATGCAAGAGAACTTGAGGGAGGTGGTGGCAAATGATATTGCTGTGATACTTGAGAGGGGACCAGAGAACATATTGAGGGAAATAGAGAAAATATTTAGAGTCAATTCCTGGATTGCAAAGCAGAGAAACTTACCAAGAGATGTGGTGGTTTATTTTGGAAAAAGATCTCTATGTAATGAAGTGATACAAGCATTTTATAATCAGAGATTTCAGACTGCTGCTCAGGATGTGATAATTTTAAAGGAGATTCCATCTAAAATTTTAAGAAGAAGGAAAGACTTTGCCTTTTTATCAGAGGAGCTTAAAAAGCGGCAGATTCCATTCAGATGGGATATTCCAATTGGAATTCTGGTGAGCCAAGCGGGGACACGTTATAGACTTAATACAGTTGCAAAGGCTAAAGAGTTTTATATGTCGGTCCTGGGAGCACACTCACCACCATCCTTACGTTTCAAAGTTCATGAAGTGAAAGAGGGAGAACAACTGGTTGAAAATGCTGCTTTAATGAAAGCTGGAAAATTATAGGCTGTCCAGCAGTCTGTTGAGGTGAAAGAGCAGAGAATGACCCAAGCAGCTCACAGACGAAGAGAAAAAGAGCAACATGAGATGGATAAAAAAGAGTCTACTCAAGAATCGGTTTCTGAGCCTGTGGGAGGAGCAAGACCTAAGAGATCTTCTATTTGATCCTCGATGTATATCTCTATCTTATAGCTCAGGGGTCCCCAATCCCCGATCCGTGGACCGGTACCGGGCTGTGGCATGCCAGCAACCATCCACACAAACAAGCAAAGCCCCATCTGTGGGATGCAGGCAGCACACAAAACCTCACCCCCTTCAGTCTGCAGAAAAACCTCTCTCCACGGAACCAGTCCCTGGTTCCCAAAAGGTTGGGGACCTCTGTTATAGCTGTCTACCACGTTTGCAGATAATGGGAATGGTAGTCCAACAAATATGGCAGATACTAAGTTGGAGAAAGCTGTTATAAAACTTCATGCTCAGGAAGAGTCATGTACCTTAATAAAAAACTAAATAATGTGCCAATTACTCACATTGTTTTTACAACATGTTGACTAGATCTTAACTGCAATAAAAACGTTTATAAGGCTCTTTCAGGCCATTACTAAAGATTATCTCAATAATTGTTTAAAACCATGTGCTGGAGAACATTAAAAATGAGCTGGGAGAAACTGAAAAATGGTCCCTGGCATAAAATTGCACAACTAACGGAAATCAATCTAAGTGCATCAATTAGCTTTTCCAAAGAAGGAAATAACCAAGATTACTGGTGTGCCTAGCAGCTTCTATTTTCCATCACAATATCCAAGGCAACTTACTTTCTGGTTGCTTTTCATTTGGTGTTATAGATCGCACAAAATCTTGTGGGGTCATAAATACTTCCGACTCTCCATGCTCATTGATGATTTTCAATGTGGCAAAGTATCGAAAGATTTTATCTGGAGTAGAGTAAGCTCGGATCCTGTTTTCATATTCCATCACCTAAAAAGAAAAATACTGGAAGTGAAAAGTTTCTAAATTCCAACAGCTTAGCCATCTTTTTTTAATTTTAAAAATTTTATTTGAATTTTCAATACATATAATACTTTCCATACATTATATATAAAACTAAAAAAAGAGAAAAATACCTTTAAAATAAGACCTTAGGTGTCGCTCGTCTATCTCCCCCCCGACTGCATCCGCCCTCTCAACCTTCCTTCCTTCCTTCCCTACTCCCTCTCTCCTCTCCTCTCCTCTGCTCTCTCCCCTCACCCCTTCTTCCCATCCAACTTCCTTCCTTCCCTCCTCCTCCCCTCTTATCCCTCTTCGGATACAGTTCAGGGGAAACACCCAAGCAGCATCTCCCTCTAAATTACTCCATCTATTTCATACTTTAATATTTCTATATATATACTTAATCCCACCCCACCCCACCCCTTCGCCCGACCCCCCCCCACTTCCCAGAGCAAAATACAGGGTTATTATAAACAAAACAAACACAATAAAACAACAACAAAAAAACTCTATACAATAAACAAATTCATACATTACCCTTAACTCTCTCTAAACTATAATAATAATAATAATAAAACAAATCTACTATAAATCAAATATTATAAAAATCTATAAATAATAATTATAACCTCAAGAAAAAATTAATCATAAAATAAATGGAACTTTAAAGTTCCATATTTATTCTGAATATAATCTATCCACCTTCTCCATACTATAATAAATTTTTCTTGTGTATGGTCCTTTAAATAAGCAGAAATTTTTGCCATTTCCACTAAAGTAGAAACCTTAAGTGTCCATTCTTCTAAGGTAGGCAGCGAATCCTTCTTCCAATATAAACCTACAAGTAATCTTGCTGCAGTTATTAAATTCAACATTAAAATAGTTTCATTAACATCTAAATCCATAAAAATACCCATAAAAATAGTTGAGGAGTAAACTTTATCTTCTTTTTAAAAATCTTTTGAATGTTCCACCAAATCATTATCCAGAAAGCTTTAACCTTCTTACAGGTCCACCAAACATGAAAGTAAGTTGCATCAGTACTACCACACCTCCAACATTTGGGCTGTAAGTTAGGATACATACAAGCCAATTTTTGGGATCCAAATGCCACTTATAAAACATTTTATAAAAATTTTCCCTCAGATTTTGTTCCTGTGTAAATTTAACATTTCTAATCCAAATATTCTCCCATCGATCCAATAAGATCAGTTCCTGGATATTCTGAGCCCATTTAATCATACAATCTTTTACTACTAACTCTGTTTCCGAATCCAATTTTATTAACTCATCATAGATTCTTTTAATATGAGCATGATTCTGATCTTTAATCTGAACGATCAGATTTTCATCTCCTAATGTTATTCCAACTTTCTTATCTACTGTCCACCTATCCACAATTTGTGCATAATGAAACCATGAGTATAAAATGTTTTCTTGTCTTAATACGTCTAAGGATTTTAACTGCCAATCTTTACCTGACCAAATTAATAACTCCTTATACGAAATTTTATCAAAATTCATCCCCTTAGAAACATCCTCAATTACATGTCCAGGAATCCCCCAAATAGGTATTTTATAATTTAACCTATAATAATACTTCTTCCAAACTCGAAGAAAAGCATTCCTTAAAATATGTAGTTTAAAAGCCTGATCAACTTTCTTATTAAAAATCAAATATGCATGCCAACCATACAGTAAATCCCACCCTTCAATAGAAAGAACATCTTTATTTGTTAAATTAAGCCAATCACTTATCAAAGTTAAGGTGGCTGCATCATAATATAATTTCAAATTGGGTGCTTTAAGCCCACCTCTTTCTCGGGCATCCTGCAAAATCTTAAACTTTACTCTTGGTTTTTTCCCAGCCCAGATAAATTTATTAATACCCTTTTGCCACTCATCCAAATTTGCATCTTTTTTTAGAATAGGTAACATTTGAAACAAAAAAAGAAACTTTGGTAGAACATTCATTTTTACCGCTGATATTCTCCCCAACAATGACAACTGCAACTTTTTCCAATCATTTAGATCCTTTTGTACTTTTGCCCATAATAATTCATAATTATTCTTATATAATTTACCATTAGAAGCTGTTATATATACTCCCAAATATTTAACCTTTTTCCACCATCTGAAAACCTGTAAGTTTAACTAAAATTTCATTTTCCTTATTAGACATATTTTTAGATAACATTTTAGTTTTATTATTATTTATTTTAAAACCAGAAACTTTTCCATACTGAGATATAATTTCCAACAAATGACCAGCTACTTGTGCTAAAGTTAAAACCAAATCATCTGAAAAAACTCTCAATTTATACTCATTCCTGTTTACTTTTATTCCCTTAATTACCACTGACTCTCTAATCTGAATTAACAAAATCTCCATTGTTAAAACAAATAACAATGGGGATAATGGACATCCTTGTCTTGTTCCCTTTTTAATTTTAAAAGTCTCAGTCAGACCCCCATTGATAAGGTGACCAACCGTCCTCCTTTTGGGAGGACAGTCCTCCTTTTTTGAGTTCTGTCCTCCCTCAAAAAGTGTCCTCCTAAATGTCCTCCTTTTCCATATACCATCTTCCTTTTGGGAGGACAGTCCTCCTTTTGTGAGTTCTGTCCTCCCTCGAAAATATCCTCCTAAATGTCCTCTTTTTCTATATTTGAAGACTTATCTGCAGGGCTTTTTTTCCCTCATAGAATGCCCAGAAGGGCGAAAGCCCTTTCGAAAGCCAGTAGGAATTGCTGCTGAGCGCACCAAAACACCCAGGCGGCAAACTTTGCACGTGAAAGTTGCAGGAACTTTGCACCCCTCACTGCTACCCAACTACACCATCTCTTACTTAGTTCTGCAGATAGCTGGAGAAGACTGGAGCGGTAAGTTTCTCTTGATCTTCCCTGTTCGGTTCTACACGGGGATGCACAGGGTAGGCGGTGGTGCTGGGGGGTGGCTGCAGGGCCGGAGCCAGCACGGCTGGTGCTTTGCGAGCTGTGGGGCCGGTTCTACGGGGATGCGCAGGTTGGGCAGTGGTGCTGGGGGGAGGCTGGGGGGACAGCTGCAGGGCCGAAGCCGAGCAAGTGGTGCTTTGCCTTTGCGAGCCGTGGGGCCAGCTCTACGGAGATGCGCAGGGTGGGCGGTGGTGCTGGGGGGCAGCTGCGGGGGCGGCTGCAGGGCCGGAGCTGGCACGGCTGGTGCTTTGACTTTGCGAGCCGTGGGGCTGGCTCTATGGGGATGCGCAGGGTGGGCGGTGGTGCTGGGGGGCGGCTCAGGGTTGGAGCTGGCTCGGCTGGTGCTTTGCGAGCTGCGGGGCCAGCTCTCCATGGCAGGGCAGCGGTGCCGGCGGGGCGGCTGTGGGTGGGGCACGGTGGGCAGTTGACCTTCCATGGGCCGCGCCAGCTGGTGGTCTACGCAGTGCTGACCTGCGCTGCCACCACCTCACCCTGCGCATCTACGTGGCCATCCTAGAGCGCCTGGCTCACAACACCTGCCTCCACCGCCCACCCCCGTGCAGTCCAGCCATGTAGATTTTTGAACAAGTGAGAAATCGAGATTGAATGTTGATACTCTAGCTGCAGCACTTGCTGAAAAATTCAATATGAAGGATATTTCTTGTTCAGATATTTCCAATATATTGTTAGAAGATGATACATTGACAAAAAATATTCATTCAATGAAAAGTACTCATTTAAATAATTAATAGGCATGTAAGCACAATTACAATATAAAATGTTATTTACAAATGTTTTTTATTATGCATTGATCATATTATAGTGTATTCTGTATTATTGTTGCAATAAATACAATGTTTCTTTTATTTACGATATTTTTTTCTTCAATTTATTTGTGTCGTCCTTTTTGTTGTAAAAAAGTTGGTCACCTTACCATTGATAATAATTTGAGCAGACTGTTGCTGAAAATAGCCTTAATAACATGTAAAAACTTATCTCCAAAATTCATTTTCTCTATCAATAAAAATAAAAATTTCCAATCTAGTTGATCAAAAGCTTTCTCAGCATCTAGAAATATAAAGGCCGCAGGGATTTGATTATTCTTGTCCAAATACTCTATTAAGAATCTGCCTTACATTATATTTCATATATCTTCCTGTTATAAATCCTGATTGATCACAATGAATCAAGTCCTTCATTACCTCCATTAATCTATTTGCCAAAATTTTTGAAAAAATCTTATAATCCACATTTAAAAGAGATATACGTTTATAATTCCTAGGTTCAGTAGGATCTTGATCCTCCTTCGGGATCAATGATATAAACGTGCTTTTCCATGAAGGGGGAACTTGAGCTCCCAACAAAATACTATTAAAAAGCTCCTTTAATGGCTCCATCATTTCCTCAGATAAAATTTTATAATACATTGTCATCAATCCAAATTAGCCATTTTTTGACATAAATATATAATTCTATCTAATGGCCCAAAATGAGTTGATAGGATCTATTTATCTATCAGAATTTTGAATCTACCCTCCAGGCAGACTGCAAGAGACATAAAAGCCAAATTAGGTTTCAGTCTAGAAATAGTAGAACATTCTGAAAAAATAAAAACAAATTAAGCATAAAAACAACAGAGCAGACAGCAAACCAGCACCATAATGAAGAAATAATTGGGAGAATGCAGTTAAAATTGGCACTGAAATAAAAATGACAATCAGTCCTACTTTGTGAGTGAAGCTTTTCCAGTAAGAAAATACCATCACAGTTTAATTCCCCTGCCTCATTCCAATCAATCAAAATGTATTCATAGTCCAAACACAATAAAAGGCCAGCATATGATACAATAACCATAAAAGAAAAAAATTAAAAATTGCAAGAAAATCCTAAAGCAAATGTTTATTAGCATGGAAGAGGAACCAGATAGTTTCTAACCCCTATAGTTGAATATTGATGAATATTTGCAACCTATCAAGTGCAAGAAATCAGGAGCCAGATTTCCTGCTAAGAATCTGATCTAGTAACAATCAAAGCAA